CGCCCACTCACCATCACGACCTCCCAGCCCCACTCCCTGTAGACGGGGTTGTGCGTCTGCCGCCACAGGTACATGTAGCTCTCCACCACCTCCGGCCGCAGGATGTAGTAGCTCTCGCTCAGCTGCGTGGCCACTGCCTCTCGGCCCGAGTTAAACCAGAAGGCCTCGGGCCCCAGTTTGGTATCTGTGGAAATGACCAACCAGAGCGCCTGGGTCAGACCTCCCCTTCCTGCTTCTCAGGACGCAGCTGCCCCACGAGGGATCGCAGCGGTCTGGAAGCCCAGGCTGGGCGGTGGTTGGTGATGGACTGTGCGGGGGGGCCCTGCCTGGTTTGCCCCATAAGTCTAAGCCTGGCAGATGCACAGCTGCCCACTTGGCCTTGGCTGGCCGAAGCTAGACCCTTGGGGCCTCGAAAACTTTGCAGTTTCTGAGAATCCAAATGAACTGCCTAGCAGTCTGGGGAGACAGGGAGGTGTCCCCAGCTGTGTATTCTAAGACATTACTGTGCAAGTTGTCAACCAGAGCTCAGCCAAGAACGGGTTCCAGGTTTAAACATATTGGGGGAAAAGTGGGTTAAACAAAGTTAAAGTCTCCTGTCTGCAGGACTTATCAGATCCTTTAATATGCTAACATGCATGATGCTTCTCCACAGACCCCCTTTCTTAGGGAACCAGCCTTCCAGAGCTGACCGTTGGGGAGACCTGAGGCAGAGGTGAGGGGAAGATCTGCCCAGGAGGCAGGTACTCAAGCAGAGGGAGCTGATAAGAAGGGCTGATGAGGTCTGGGTATTGTTGTTGTCATTGTTTGTTTTTGGACAGTTTGCTGCCATTCCTATTTTCTGAATGACCACAATTATAACCACCACCGCAGCCACCATTTACATGCATTATTTCAATCCTCAAAAGATGTTTTTTTGCTAAGGTAGATGTTATTATCCTGCTCTCATGCATGTGGAAACTGAGGATCAGAGAGGCTAAGTAATTTGTCCAAGGGAACACAGCAAGTTGTGGCTGAGCTGGGATGTGACCCTGGATCTGTCTGATGCCCTTTCCCTGGGCTGTGCTCTCTCTTTCCCTCCTGGGTCTGACTCTCGAGGTCCAAAATTTAGGGTTTGTGGGTCAGATCTTCCTCCCTTTAGTGCCTGCACATGCTGTCCATGTCAGCTGAGGGCCCAGCTCTGGTCCTAATGTGTGCTCCCCCGCCCCGTCGCCATTAGGGTGCAGGACCTCGCGAGGCCCTGGGCTGCTTTTCCTTGAGACAGGCCGGAGCTTTGCAGAACGTCCCGCTCTTCCAGGGAGGGCTTCATGGGAGAGGCATTAGCCAGACCCTGGCCTCTCCGACCCTCTCAAATGGTGCGGCCGCTCCGGCCATCAGAAAACAGTCGTTTTGCCAAGCTGCTAACGGGGTGAGGGCAGGAGCGCCTGTCGCAGCCGTCTGCGAGGAGCGGGCGGGCTGGAACAATATGCTCTATTAAGCGGACTGTCTTTTATGGTCTGGGCTGATTGTCCCCAACAAATAGCGAGCTTTTTATTATTCCTGAGAGTTCCTATTTGTTTATGGCCCTGGCAGAGACAGCTCTTTGAAGGGAACTCAAGTCTGGTTTTAAGGACCCATTGCAAATCGCTGGCTTCCTGAAAACAGCTCCAGGAGATCTGGATTCGACCCGAGCGGTCACAGACTCATTTTGGGGGGACTGCCAACAAATGCCTCCCGTGCTGTTGGCTGAAGGCGGCCGGGAGTATGCTTTCTACGGGACCCTCTGCCTCACCCTGTGTTATTGTTCCCACTGGACAGGTGAGAAAACTGAGGCCACCCAGCTGGCGAGTGGCACTTGAGCCAGGAATTTCTATTGCAAATCTTAGGTCCCCTCCTCCAACCAAGACTGGGATTAGACTCAGGGCAGTGGGCACCTCCTGGGGCCCTGGGGGGCACCGTCTGGAGAGGCAGCACACGAGGTGGAGCTGGGCATCAGAAGACCTGGGTTCTAGCCCCGCTTAGCTATGCACGCAGTGTGACTTTGGCTAAGTCACTTCCCCACTCTGGGCTGACTCAGTTTCTCCATGTGTAAGATGAAGAGTTGGGCTCATGCTTTCTAATGTGATTTCTGACTCGAGCATTGACAGTTCTCCAGCGGGTGGTGGTGGGCATGATCCAGATGCTCTCCAGCCCTCCAGTGGTCTTGGATCAAAGAGGGTAACAAACAGGGTGGTGCCAGGAGGTGATGAGACCCTCTAAATAGGAGGGTTTTGGAGAGGAAAGGCAGAGGTACATTCGGGGTAGGGGCTCAGGGAAAAGGGATCTGCTGGCTCAGGAAGCCAATGTTTCTACCTCGGCGGCTGGAGGACCCTCTGCTCTGTGCTCCTCATGTGGGACCTTGGCCAAGTTATCTCCGAGCCTCAGTTTCCTCATCTGTGTTGTGAGGTTCAGCAATGATGTGTGTCAAGTGCTGAACAACACCTGGCACACACAATGTGCTTCATACATCATCACGCCATCGCTCCTCTCCCTTTAATTTAGGGTACAACCTCAGGGCATAGACAACACGTCCCCTGTTCAAATTCTACATAACTTCTAAGGCGAGACTGCCCTGCCACCACGTGTTCCCTTCTCACTGCCACTCTGCTGGTCTCTCCAGTTCTTCCTGGTGTCTAGCCTCAGCCTCTTCTGCTGCCCCTTCCCCTTGCAGGGTTACCTGAGCGGGTGTACGATTCGTGGCACGTCTTGGTGATCTGGGCTGCGAGCTCTCGGTAGTGGGCCCTCTTTTCTTCCTTGGCATCCTCAGCGCCGAGGGCGATCATGCCCCCGGAGAAACAGGCCAGGTGCCCCATCTTGTGGTCCAGAATCCCCCCTCGCCACTCAGCAATGTAGGTCAGCCCCCCGGGAGAGACATTCAGCAAGTGGGTCTCTATTGCCTGGGAGCAAGGTGGGAGTTGGGCAGGGAGAAGGGGCAGGGGGATGGGTGGGTGGGGGAGGTGGGTACAGAGAAGGGAGGGGGAGAGGACGGAAAGTGAACATTCTGGAGACAGCAGCAAAAGCAGCTCTGTGAGCCCTCTATCCCAGGCAAAGGGGGCCCAACCTGGACTGGTGGCCGTTCCGATGGGGCCACAGGAGGTTCTGCCACTCACCCAGCTGAGGCTTGGGGCCTGCTGAGGGGCTTGGACACAGGGCAGCTCCCCAGGGCAAATCTCTTATAGACTTTTAAATCTTCTACATATAAAATTAAAAAAAATATTTAAAAATCATTATCATCCTCCATTATATCCTCTGTTAGGGAGTCAACCTGAAGCTCAACTGGACTGCGGATGGGCTTCAGGGGGTCCAGAACGCCCCTAAAATTGTATGTGATACGTTTGTGTTTGTGCATTTTCATGGGAAGAGGGTCCACATATTTTACCAGATTCCCAAACAGGACCCACAGAAAATCAAGAGCTGCTCTCTACAGGCCCTTATCACACGGCTTCTCATTTAACGCCCATGACAAGCCAGGCACATGGGCTGCAGTGCCCTACACAAAGGGGTCAAGTGGCTTGTCCCAGGTCACCCCACCACACCAAGATTAGGACAAGGACCCCCAGATGCCCAAGCACCCTCCTTCCACTACCCGATGGCTGCTCCTTTTGGTGGCAAGGAGCTTCGAGAGCCCTTCCCTGCTCCTGCAGGTGGCGATGCTGTTGGTAAAGACTTGCGGGATGCTGGGGGTGTAGGTGTTAGCCTTCCTGCCCCCAACTCCCTGCTGGTAGCTTCCAGGAGCCTTGGAAAGCCGGGTGATGGTGGCAGCTGCCCACATCGCCACAAGGCCAGACTTGAGGGTGTGTGGGTCGTGGTCCAAAGCTGGGGCCTCTGGGGCCCCGGCCAGGCCTCTGCCTCCACTCTGGCTCCTCCAATCTCTTCCCAGGCAGGAGGGTCTCTGCATACTATAAATATCAAATCGGATCGCATCTCCTGCCTGCTAAACACCCTTCCATGGTTTCCAAGTGCCTTCAGACAAAAGTCCAGCAGGGCCTCCAAGACTCCCTGACCTGGACCCTGAGGTTTACCCTGACACCACGGACATGGCTTCTGGGCTCAGACTCCTTGGGTTCAGACCCCATCTCCACCAGTTCCAAGCTGTGTGACGCTGGGCGGGTTCTATGTTCTCTCAGTGCCTCAGTTTCCTCAGGGATAAAACAGGGATAAGAGCACGAACCACTTCATAGGGTTGTGAGGATGAAATGAGAGCTTAGCATGTTTCCCAGCACAGGGGCGTCCTCACTGAATGTAGGCTATTACAGTTCCTCTCCACTCTGCCCCGCCCCTCCCTCCTCAGGCCCCGACCCCAGCCACACTGGCCTCTTTTCACTCCTGCACCCCCACCCCCCCCAATCGAGTATTTCATGAGCACAGCGCTGTGCTCAGTGCGGAGGATACAGCCCCTGAAGACAGGACTGGACACGCCTCGGGGAGCTCACCAGTGAGTACAGAGACTTGCCAAAACATCAAACACACGAAAGAATCACGATGTGTGATCAGTACTTCGAAGGAAACAAATTGAGGGGCTGAGACAGAAAAAAGCTTGGGGAGGGGTCCTGCTTGCAGAGGGAGGTAGAGAAGGCCTCTCTCCCACGCTGACATTCATGAAGGCTGGGTTTTTCTCCTGCCTCGGGGCTTTGCCACCGATGCTGCTTCTCCCCACATGCTCCCGCCCCTCTGCTGACCCCAAGTGGGCCTTCGGGCCTCCTCCAGGATGCACCTCCTTGGAGAGGGCTCCCCAGTCTAAACCACTGCCACTGTTACTCTGCCGCCCTGTTCTCTCTCCACGTGGCGCTGTTCCCTCTCTGTGCTGACGTATTTGTGCATGGATCTGTGGAGCGTCTGTCTCTCCCAGGACTCAGTGCTGTGATGGCAGAAGCCACCACCATCTCTAGCCAGTGCCTGGCATACGGAAGGTGCTAAAACAATTCGCTCCTTGACTGTTTTTTCCCTTTGCTTCTCCCGTGCGGCCAGGGCTGGTGGGCTGGCTGCAGGACCCTCACTGAGCGGCAGGTGCGGAAGCTCTGATGCCGTGATGTGCCAGGGCACCTGCTCCACGTGGGGAGGAGTCCTGAGGAGGTCTGGAGAGCCACCTGCCGCTGGGCTGGGTCTGCTCTGGGCCCAGCCCTGGTCCTGGGCAGAGCTGGGTCCATGGCAGCTGCTCCGCATCACGAAGCATGCAGTGCGGGGAGGGGTGGCGGGGCTGGTCCAGGGCACAGAAGCCTGGTTCAGTTACCCGTTGTCAGCACTTCAGAGAGAACACAGACATCCGGGGGAGACCTCAGGAAGCCGTGCTCTGCAGCTAGAATTCTGCACCTTTAAGACCCCCTCCCACAGGCTATTTCCATTTGGGGTTAACCCCAAGCTAAGTCATTGTGGTAAAGAGGAAATGAGACCAGTCTCTCTCTGAGGACACAATTGAGACAAGCAGATGCAAAGTTAAAAAAAAGCAAGGCTTTCTCAAACCCTAAGGAAAACAGAAGACAGCACAGGCTGGCAGCCGACTGGTAAAACGGCTCCAACCGTAGCAAAGAGCTGGCTGAGAGCCAGAGACCCGGGTTTGAATCTCGGCTCTGCAGTGTGAGAGCTGGACTCTGGGCAAGTTATTTCACTTTTCTGCAGACTCCCTTTCCTCGTCTGTAAAATGGAAACAATACCTCCTGGGCTGGTGTTGAGGCTGTTCAGAGACTCTGGCTTCCTCTGCCCCCTGGAGGGGACGCATCTGCACTATCCCCAGAGGGGCGGCAGGCAAGCCAGGCTTCCCTTGTGATTTGGCCGCTTTTACGTGGAGGCGGGAGCACTGGATCTGGAGTCAGTCAGACTCGTGTTTGCGCCCTGGCTCTCCACTTGTTGCTGTGTGACCTTGGGCCTCTGTGAGCCTCAGTTTCATCATCTGTAAGACGGGGCTAAATGAGACAAGGCACTCAGCGAGCCTGCCCAGGGGAGGCCGCAGTGACAGAGGCTCTCTCCATGACCCTCAGGGGTGTGCCCAGTTGGCCTGTCCGAACACCCCGCACCCACCCAGCTGGATATTGGTCTCACCTGCACACTGGACCCACCCTGGGCGACTTTCAAGGCTGTTGCAGGGGCCCTAGCCCAGAGGTTCTCATGTGATCTTGTTGGGGTGCAGCCTAGACATGGGGATTTTAAGCTCCCCAGGTGATTTTTAAAACGCTGACAAGGTTAAGAACCACCAGAACATTCTTCAAAGCCCCAAACTTGCCAGAGGCCCTGGGCTTTACCCAGGGTCAGAGACACTCCAGGCTCTCCACGGGGGAGATCAAATGCGGGGAGCAGAGCAGACTTCTCTGCTGTTCAATCAAGCTCTTTCCATAAGGCTCCCTGTTTGCTTAAATAATTCATGGCCATTCTTCCCTTGAAGCCTCAACCACAGTGTGCCCTGAGGGCACAGGCCTAACGAGCCCAGGCCGCTCGTTAACTTTATGTTTACTCTGCGAGGAACTGCAGAAAGGCCGGAAAGGGCCTTTGCTGGCAGCACACCCTGCCACCGCTGAAGGCTAATCCTCTGACAGCAGGTGCTGGCTGCCGTCTGAGCTCAGCCCTAGAAGCTTGGGGTGGACGTGGCTGAGACTCAGACTGAGCTGGAACTGGAGTCCCAGTAGGTGCTTCATGACTGAGGTCTTGGTGCCGGGGAGCTGGGCAGGGAAAACTCATCACCGAGCCCACAGTTTAAAGGGTCCACGACTCCGGAGGCCTGTTTCACTGTGTTTCCTTTAAGTATTACCATTCCTGGCCAGATTCATGCGATCAGAGGGGAGTTAGAGATCATCCATCCATCCATCCATCCAATTGCCCACCTCCATTCCTCCACCCATATCCACCCACTCATCGGTCCTTCCACCCATCCACCCATCATCCTTCCACCCATCCATCAATCCACTCCTATCCACTCACCCATCCATCCATCCACTCACCCATCTATCCATCCATCTATCCACGCACCTATCTATCCACCCATCCATCTATCCATCCACCCATCTATCCATCTACCCATATCCACCCGCCCATCCTTCCTTCTTTCCATTCACCCACCCACCCACCCATCTATCCATACTTCTTTCCTTCATCTACCCATCTATCCACCTACCCATCCTTCCTTCCATCCATCCATCCATCCATCCATTCACCTACCCATATCCACCCACTCATCCTTTCTTCTTTCCATCCACTCACCTATCCATCCATCCATCCATCCACCCACCCACCCATCTATCTATCCATCCTTCCTTCCTTCCATTCATCTACCCATTTATCCACCCATCCATCCATCCATCCTTCCCTCCCTCCCTCCATCCTTTCAGCATTCATGCATTTATTGTTCACAAAATAGTTACTGTATGCCTCCAAAGTACCAGGCACTGTTTTAGGAGTGAGGCATATAGGGTGAATGAGTAAACAAGATCCTTGCCCCTGCGTAGCTCATATTCTATTTGGGGAAGATAGACAACAAACAAGTAAACAAATCTGTGCACGTGATGATTTCAGATGCCAATGAAGATGAAGAAGAGAATAAGCCTGGGGTATGTGACAGAGAGAGGCTGGGAAAGGCTAACTTCAGTGGCATTTGAGTTGACTAGTAAGTGAGACCCAGCCATTTGCATGATATTCTAGGAAGATGGACATCAAATACAAAAGCCCTGAGGTGGGAGGGAATCCGGTGTGTCTGAGGCAAGCTGGGGACCAGAGCTGAGAGGGCAAAGGGGAAAGAGTTCAGGGTGAGTGACAAGCCTGGATCAGGTGGAATCTGGTGGGCAAAGGTGAGAGGTCTGGTTTACTCCAAGTGCTAAGAGAGCCAGTGAGGGGAAGGACATGCATTTCTAGCTGCTCTGGCTGCTGTGTGGAGAACTGACTTAGAGGGAGGGCGGGGAGAAGCAAGAAGTGCAGTTTAGGGGACACAAGGTAGTGGCTTAGACCAAGGTGGTAGCGGAGTAGATCCAACCTGCTCAACTCACTTTATGGAGAAACTGAGGCCCAGAGCCTGCCCAGTGCCTTTTTCTTAGTTGGGCTCAAAGGTATCTATTGATGGGATTCCATAACCCCCTTCCCAGTAGCTCAGGCTACCCAATGCCCCCTTCTGTCCTAAAGTCTCCTCATCTTTGGGGGGACTCATCTCAGCCTACCACCCTTCGTTCATTCCATGCCCTGTGGACAGACTAGCAGCAGTGAGGGGCAGTGGGGATAACACTGCGGCTGGCTTAGAAGACCTGGCTCTACCTCCCGCTCTGCCAGTTCTGTGCTGTGTAGCTTTGAGCAAGTGTCTTCCCCTCTCTGGTCCTTGGTTTCCATCCACATAAAGAGAAGGACTAGAACGGGATATTCCACTGAGGGAGGCCCCTCCCAGCTTAGACGTGCAAATTATGTCCCCTCTGGCTCAGCAGGAAGATGGCTGAGGGTCTTGCTTTGGCAGCCTCACTTGAGGGCTCCTAGCCCACCATCTGGCTGTGTTCTGGGCTCTGACACATCAACTGAAGCACAGACATGGTGGTTTCTGAATCAGACTGCCTGCCGCTTCCTGTGACATCTTGGACAAATGACTTCACCTCCTCGAGCTTGGGTTTTGCATCTGAAAAATGAGGATGCTAACACAGCCCTAATTTCAAGGTGTTCGAGAAGAGTCATGAGACAGGGTGTGCGAAAGTGACTGGCTGGGGAGGGGACTGTCTTGTTCTTCCAGCCAGCTCACCATGGGGGAGGGGTGAGCACCCTCCCCACCTCCTCCCAACCACTCAGGGGCCTGGGTGAGAGCCCGTGGCCAATGACCAACCGCCCATGAAGCATAAGGGTCTTGTCTTACCTCCAAGGCTTCATAGTACATATCTTTAGCCTCCATATCTGTCTTGGCCGACATCAGCCAGGATTTGATCAAATATTCATAAAAACTGTCCCCGAGTCCTCCAACCGAGACGTGGTCTGTGAGGGAAAGAGGGCAGGAACATTATCTCCATCTGCCAAGGCCGCTGGCGGGACTAACCGGGCGCCGTCTCGCCCGCTGGCCTCGGCAGCCTCCCGGTGCTGTGTGCAGGCGGCGAGCGAGCATTAATCAGCAGCCTCCAAGCCCAGAACAGGGACTGCGAGAAAGACACAGCCTGCGACTCAGGGACACTAGGGTAGTCCTGAGCCTGATCATCCGGCACAAAAGTGCACGGGCTCAGCCAGCTGCTATAAATCATGCGCTTTAGCAGCAGAGGACACAGGGCCTCTGGTTATTAACTGTAAATGAGTTGCATTTCTTTAAAAAGATAATCTGGTGGCAGAGAGTTCAGAGCTTTTTATTACCCGGTGACAAACATGGTAATTAATGCTGGGCAGGTTCACAAAAGGCCACGGAAAGGAGAAAGGAGAGGCTTAATTTAGTCGGATGGAGTACAGAGCCGCTCTGGAGAAACTGAGTTTAAATTTAGCAAATTGGGATAAATGGAGTTCAGAGGAGCAGCGGGAGGGAAAAGCACATTTGTGAACCCCTTCTCTGCCCTTCTGGCATTGCCCCGAGTCACAGGACCTCCAGATCGTGGCTGAATGAGGAGGTGTCTCCACCCAGAGCTGTCCCAGGAGAAAGACGGGCTGACTGAGGAGCACTTAACCACAGAAGCAAGACACGAAAATACTTCGCTCACATGCTTTAGAAATTAACAACAGGGAAACAGAAGGCATTTAATAGGTACAACAAAGAGCAAACTTCAGTTCCCTCTCATGATTCACTTGAGTAGAGAGACAGAGAGGAAGGAACATGGCGGGTAGATGAAGGCGGGGTCGGGGCAATGGGAAGAGTATTTTCAGCTCTCCTGGAGGAAGAGGGGGTAGAAAGAGAGAAGGGAGGGAGAGTGGGCGGGGAAAGAGAAGGAAATAGAGAATACATCAACAGCCACCCCTCACTGAAGGTCTACTGTGGGCCAAGAGCTTTATCGTATTACTTACGACAATCTTCCCAAGAACCCTGCAAGATGAGCACTGTCAACCCATTTCCCAGATGGGAAACCGAGAGCAGGCCTAAAGAGCTCCTCCAAGGCCACCAAGCTGGTAGAGCCCTCACTTCTTGCAGCTTTACACAGTCAACCAGAGAATGAAAACAGGGAAAGGAAGGACACGTGTGAAGAGAGAGGGGCCAAAAGTCAGAGGTAAAGACGGACGGGGAGCGGGAAAGGGGGCCGAGGGGAGACCCCCACAGTAAACCAGCCCTTCTGGCCCCTCCAGCCTCCTCCACCAACAAATCCTGCCCCAGTAGGGGTTCAGGAATGGGACTAGCACTTGCAAACACTGGAACAGACCAGATAACGCCTGAGCGTGGGGAGAGTGGGAGGGGTCAGCGCGGGCTGGACTTTCCTATGTGAAGAGGGAAGTGGGCACCAGCATAGCATACCCCCCGGCCCCCATTCCTAGGTGGAGGATACAGCTTGGGCAAGTACAAAGGAGGGGCGGGGATGTCAATGGCGTGTCCACAGCTGGAGCAGGAGGTCTGTGCAGAGCAGGGGTGGGGGAGGCTGGAAGGCACACTGGGTCAGCCCCTCCTTAGAGCCCTCGACAGCTCAGGAGATGGCCCCTCATCTCCACACTCATCTCCTGGGCCTGCCTCCTCCCACCGTTTTCTCCGCCACCCCAAACACTCCTAGCTCCCACCCTCCCACCTATTTCTCAGCTCTGACGACCCCTCCGCCAGGAACACCCTCCCCCACCTGGCACGACTAACACGTCCTCAGTGCTACACCTTGGCTCAGGCGTCCCCTCCTCAGAGTGGCTCTCAGTGTTCTCATAAACCTGCTCCCAGTCCCTCCCTGCAGGCTGACCACGAGGGAATGAGATAAGGCATATGCAACCTCTGGCCCAGTGTGCCTCGCGGAGGAAGCACTCAGTGGGAGCCACCCTACCATTGCTGGGTGCGTGCCTTGCCACCAGCTGCTCCCAACCTGTGTCATAGGCATCTGTTTATGGGTCTGCCTTCCCCACTAGGCTGGGGGCTCTTTGTGGGGAGGGACCATGTATGATTCACATTTTATGCCCAGTACCTATATGGCGCAAAGCAGACGCCCAGTAACTCCTGAACGCATGAAAGCAAGGTAGGTTTGTGCTAGGAAGGGCCTCGAATGCCAAGCCAAAGACTTTGGACTTCATCAAGTGATTACAGAGTATATGTGTGAGACATGGTGGAGGGCTTCACCTGGCAGGTGTGTGCAGGAGAGGGGACCCAGGTCACCAGGAGTTCCATGGGCATTTGAGACATGACACCCTCTTGGGTATATGTGTATAGTCCGTCTCTCAGGGGGCCTCGACTGAAGTGGACAATTCTCATTTGGAGGTCCCACTGCTTTCCAGTAGGTGTGTGTGTGTGGTGTCTTCCCAGCACCATGGGGTACACGGGGAGAAGCGCAGGGGTGGGAATTAGAAGACGTGGATCTGCCACTGGCCCGGGGCAAGCCATTTTCCACTCTGGGCCTCAGTCTCCTGATCTGTGAAATGCAAAAGGGGAGCAAGAGTTGGTGTCCATGAGCCCTAGAGCAGAGGTGGGTCCTTCTGCTTCCTGACGGTGTCAACGCTCTCATCACATTTGGCAGCAGGAGGTGGCCGCCCTACAAGCCTGGGAATTGGCAGACAAGAAAGCAGCGTGAAGCTGGAGCTGATGGGCAGCTGACACTTCTATACCCCCCAGGGAGAATCGGGAGTTGCCACTTCCCTCCCACTGAGGAAAACGTGGGATTCGGGCAGTGGACAAGGAGAACAGGCCACTGCAGGGGTCAAGCTGAAGGGCTGGCAGCTCTCTGAGCTCTAAGTGGCTCTGCTAGGGTCGGTCTCGTCTGTCCTTGGTGCCAGCAGGGGTCTGGTGGACTTATCCTGGCTGTGAAGTCCTAGCGGCTGGAGGGTCTTGGCCTCCCGTTACCCTGAAGCTCAGCTCCCAGCAAGAGAGGGGAGCGGGCAAGAACAGAGGCCTGGGACTGGGCTGCAGCCCTAATTCCTCGGTGGCCTCTCTAAACTGCCATTTCTGTGGTTGCAAAGGGACTGAACAGATGATTCTAAGGGAGAAAAGAATGTGAACACACTTAGCTTATGCAAGTTGGGAATGTTATCACCTGCTGGAAAAATACACAATCGCCAAAAAACACAGTGAAAACCACAGAAAACCTGAGATGACCCAGGCGGCAAAGCCAGCGGAGGAGGAAGGCAGGCGCCCAGACGAGCAGGGCTTGATAACCTTCTCTCTGCTCTTCAGCAGGCCTCGGATTCATATTTTATTAATATGAAACAATTTCCCATACGTGTCTGACTTTGCCTGGCCCTGCGACCCTGGTGCAGTTTGAAAAGAAAATTATGCTTCTCAGAGGGGGGCTCCCCTGTAATTTGCCAAGGTGGCTGTTCAGGCTGGGAAGGCCCATCCCTCTCCTTTTTATGGGCTTTGCTGCATTGTCCTGGAGCAGCTAAGGCCGGCAGCTGTGTAGTTCATTTCATCCCCAGTCAGGCCTTGCAATTAAAAGCAGTAACAGTTATTGAACTGTCTCCGTCGTGGCCATAATCTGTAATTCAAACCTTCCTTTTCTCCCAGCACTTTTGGATTTGCCTGTGTGTTTGGTTAAAAATACTTTGCATTTCTATAAGTGGTTTTTGCAGGAGGCCACTTGGGAGTGAGGTCATCAACAGGGAAAATTCCTGGGTTGAATTTTCTGGGCCTCCTGGACCCGCAGATCAGAGGGGCTCGGGGTTGGAAGGACACGCCTGCAGTTTCTTCACAGTATCCCTGCCGGCCAGCCAGGCCCTGCTAGCATACTGTCAGTGATGGGCGCTCACTACCTTTTGGGACAGCCCATATCATCTTTGGAAGATGAACTGAAATCTGTTTCCTGCAGCTTCTGACCGTGACTCCCACACTCCTCCACGGGACAAAGAGAACATATCTTGAGCTCTTCTCCCATTTTGCAGGAGGGGAAACCGAGGATCAAAGAGATGCAGTGAGTCCCTGCAGCCGTGCAGTCATTAGACTCATGTCTACTTTGTCCCTGAGCCCTTGCTGATGCCATAACCACGGCGGCTGAAGGCAGGGAAAGGGAGTGGTGTCCTCCTTTGGGCAGAGGCAGTGGAGGTAGGGCTGTGGGCAGGTCTTGGGAAGCCCCTAGAGGCAGGGCCCGTGGCAGCAGCGCCATCAGTTAGCGCTGACTGTGACCACATGACCAGGGCCTTGGTCAGGAGGGCAAGGCAGAGCTCGGCTTCTCGACAGGGGTGCAATCCCAGGGGCCTGGGAGACTTTTCAACACTCTCCTACCTGAGCATCCCCTGGACCCCATTCTGTTTCAGAAGGTGGAGCTGGGGGCTGTGAATGAGGCTCCACGGGTGACCCACACGGGACCCATTCTTATAGGCAGTGAATTGATGGTTTTTATATTGCTGTATAGTTAGGCTCTGCTTAATTTTTTTTTTTTAAATTAAAGTTGGAGGTGGTGAACCAGATCAAAGGGGCTGGGAGAGGACGCACGGCCTTTCTTGGAGCCACTTCTGGAGTAGAGAGTTCTCTCTGGAACACTCCCGCAAGTTTGGGGGATGATGAAGGAGGCTTCAGTGGGCGCTGTAAGAGATGGACGGCTGTAGCCTTGATGGAAGGGTGGAGATAGCCAGCATGCGGGGATGCATGGGCAGGGCCTTACTAGATGGCCTCCACCACACCTGTCACAACAGCAATGACAATGACAATGAAAACCGCCCAGGAGGCCTGGCAGGGCTGGTGGTGGCCAGGAGCACCGAGCGAATGCCTCACTGGTATGTGGCTCTGATAAATGCATCGCTCCCCACTCGGCCCAGGGGCCTCACTCGGGCTGGGAGCCAGGCCGGAGTCCGCTGAAAGAGGGGCAGCGGGGTCTCTATACTCACGCTGCATCCAGTTCCCACTCACTGGGCTGAGGAAGTTGGGGTAGAGGCCGAACGGCTTATCGATCTTCCTGAGGACCTTTCGGATGTTCCTGACCTGCCGAGAGATGGACACCAGGTGGACCTTCACTTTTCTGAAAAAGCCAGCCAACTCCCAGCCCACTGAGGACTGAGCTGGTTCAGATGCAGAGGAAACCATTGCCACAAGGCAGAGGGAGAGCTGCGTAACCAGCAGCAGGATCCAACCCAGAGGTGGCGAGCCAGCCTTGCCCTTGTGCCCAAGTGTGGGGCATGGCAGGACACGGCCACAGAGGGGCCTGACCCACCACCTCTGCACTGACCGCTCCGCCTGGGGCCCTGCCAGGCCCCCATCCCACACTCACCTCACCCCTTCCTCATTGCCCGTTGCTTTTGGGGATGGGTCTTTTTAGGAGGGGGGTTCATATAAGTGATAGTAGCTCATTTGTAAGTGCTAGGTAAAATTGCCTTTTTAAATGGTCAGAAATAGTCAAATGTTGGCAATTTCATATGGTTCAACCTAGTAATATGTTATTTTATCTGACACCACAGGAGCCATGCCAGAGGACAGGCCTGGGCTCCTCAATACCCCCATTCCCTAACAGGCATTTCAGGGTTTTAACTACAACCACCACAACAGCCGTTAACATTTCTCAGTTCCTCTTAGCCAGACCCATTCAACACATTATCTCCAAGCTTCCGAACAGCCTATATGGTTTATTATCTCAGTTTAACTGATGACAAACCTGAATCTCAGAGAGGTTCGGTGACTTGCCCGTGGTCACCAGGTTCGTAAGTGGCAGACCAGGACACGAGTCGGTGTCTGACCACACGGAGCAGCCCCTGGGTCCAACATGGATCAGGGTGGGGACCGTGCAGCAGAGGCCGCTCCACCTGAAGCAAGAAGAGCCTGGGCTTGCAACCTTTAGGGCTGTGGAAGGTGAGAAGCGGGATATGGGAAGGCTTTATCCCCTGGGGTCTTCTCTCTGTCAGCACATGAAATCCTCCCAGTACAGAATCTGCTGGAGAGAAAGGCCCTCGGGGTCTGCACCGCATCATGCTCACAGGTTTATCTACAAGGCGAGGAGCAGGGAGAGCAGCCATTAGCTGTCAGACCTTTCCAGGGAACAGCACTTTGCTTTGCACATCAGATTTCATATGCATTTATGTTAGCGGAGTCCATTATGGGGACAGGAATGGGCTTGTATCTGACTTATTCTCGGCTGTCCTGGTGGTAAGCAGAAAAGAGGCTAAATTAGCTCCCCCAGAGGGTGCGGGCACTTCCAGAATTTGGGCCAATTTGTTGACTGCTTATAATCGCCTCTGTGGGAGGCACGATTAGGGGATGAAAATACCCAGAGAATGTAAATGTAAAGACAGAGAAACACAGGCGGATGGACTCTGGAGACAAAGCTAGAAGCCTGCTGTACTAATCTGGTCTTGAAAGAGCACGGGCTTCAGAGTCAGAAAGTCCTGAGCTTGAATGCCCGCTGGATGACCTAGCACAAGTGACTTAGCCTCTCTGAGTCTGTTTCCTCTTCTGTAAAATGGGGATAACAGGAGGACCCACTCCACAGCGTTGTTGGATGGGACAGAGATACTCTAAGGTCCCAGCACATGGAAGGTGCTCAGGCAGTGGTAGCTGGTATCTCCAGACTAGCCAGGGACCTGAGGGAGCTCCTCGTCCCACTCCACTCTGAGCTGCCCACAATCTTCCTGGAGGAGCTTTGCTCAAGAGCAATGGAAACAGGGAGGCTGAGGGGAGGCAGGGCTTGGAGGTGGGAAAAGGATCAGAAAATAAGACCCGTTGGGAAGTGGGATTAAACTTATTCCATGAGCTTTCAAGGTGGAGTGTCACAGAGAGGCAGAGTCTCTCTCAATATAAGGAAGAGCTTCTGGAGGAGGATCTGACAATATCATGGGCTGATGAAGGGCAGCAGTGAGCCCCAATGCAGAGGAAGTGATCAAGGTGTTAAAAAGCTCTTCTTCAGCTTCTCAAGAACGCTCAGGTGGATTCCCACAGTGAGTAAGCAGTGGTCTAAACCTGGCGTCAAAAAGCACATGGGCACGTATTAAAAATGCGGATTCCTGGGCTTGGGGTGAAGCCCAGGAAGCTGTTTCCTCACAGATGTGCCAGGAGATGATTTGAGGCTAGTTGGCTGACACGAGACTGGGAGCCACCGTGTAAGGTGTGACTCCATGGCCTCCCAGCTCCCTTGGCATCCTAAGAGGCTACCTTTCAGGGGAAGAGAGGCTCTGGGAGTGGGGGCCTCCAAAGGTTCTTGGAGGGCAGGGCTTCATCTCCCCAAGCACGACTCAGGAAGGGACAACTGGTGACATAGCCTGAGGGCCATCTGAGGGTGGTGTGTGTACACTTCCCTTCTCTGGGTTTAGGGTTAGACCCACAGAGACACTTCCAGACAGTGGGATTGACAAGGGCTGTGACACTGAGAAACTGCTCCTTCTGGAGGGCTTCGCAGAGGGGCAGGAGTGGGCAGCTGTCAGGACGGACGACAGCCTGGATGCCAGCTCTCAGCTCCCCTGTGGCCTCAGCCAGCCCGGGAACAACTAGAAGGAGCAGACGTGCACCTCTGCTGTGGAGTGAGATCGCTTTGCCAGCTTGCTGACAACGTGAGCTAGACGGGCAGCTGGAAGGAAAAGGCAGGCATATCTCACATGAAAAGTTAAATGTCTCTGGAAAGGGGACTTCTGCACCAGTGGCCAATTCCTGCCAGTGCAAGCTGGTGCCTGGATTTCAGTTGCTGCACTTTCTCCAGATTTCACGAACGCGCGGTTGCCACCGAGGTGACAGGTACCAGTGAGAACCTTTTCTCTGGCAGCTTCGTCTCCTCCCTCCCCTCTGTAGAATCCTGATTCCCTCTTGCACTCACCTCCCTGCCACTGGCTCAGGGACAGTTAGGTCCTCCACAACCAGTAGCTAGTTGCTATATTAGTGGTGGCTGGAGACCCTCTGCCTTCCCCACCTGTGCTCCTGCTGTTCCGGTGTCCACTTCCCCATCCTGGGCTGAGTGCTCAGCCTTCTGCTCTCAGAGGGGAGAAGACGGAGGGGCCGGACTGGGAGGGAGCAGGGGAGAAGACTTGCCTTTTCTGCGAAGACCTGGTTGCCAGAGAGCTCAGTGAGGTGTAAGAACTCCAGATGCAGGGATCCAAACTCGGCCAGGATGCTGCTGCTCCCTGCCATGGCCCAGCCCCAGCTCCTGTTGGAGCCGCTGAAAAGACAGAAGCAGCCACTGTCACCCCACCACCACCCCGGCTCCTCTGCTGAGTAACAGGGACTGCTTAGTGGGGGAGCACCTACTATGTGCCAGGCTCTGTCCTAGGAACCTTCATCATATGTACAGTCTCAGTTAATCCTCTCTGGGTGTCAGTGCTATTAACAGCCCCGTTTTGCTGATGAGGACACCGAGCTCCGAGAGACGAAGGGACCTGCTGAAGGTGGTCTGAACCCAGGCCTGTCTGACTTGCCATATTCTCTGTTCCTATTGCCAAGCAGCCCCTGTAAGACTTGTGGGCTCGAGAAGGACAGGAGCAGAGCTGCCCTGGTGGCCAAGATCTGGCACATGCGCTGTTAAATTTACAGGTGACATCGGTAATGCTGTCAGACCCCACAGAACACTCGATTTCCGCCCTCGGGCTGAAGGCAACCCAGCTGCTCACAGTCAATGGCACCGCGTGCGGAGGGTAAACGGCGGGCCCTTTCCCTCTCCCACACTGTCAGTGCTGCCCAAGGACACAGACTGGCCCAAACCTGGAATTTCGTGGAACCCACACCTGACAGGCAGGTGGCTGTGGTACGACCACGCTCCTGGAGCTGCTGGTTCTGGGGAAGCCCAAGGTTAGGAACAAAGGCAGCAGGGCTCTCGGAGCAAAGGTTTCCTCAGCCATTAACCACGTGCCGCCCATGGGCACCTTAGAGAAAGTCAGATTATGTATTATTACTAGCATCGCCCTGCGACTTCACCGGAGAAGGCTGTCAAGTCACGACTTCCACGTGCCAGGTGCTTTCAAGGAGGAAGAGAGCAGAAGCAGGGCCTCAGTTAGTCCTCCCAGCTGCCCCTTTTACAGATGAGGAAATTAAGGCACAGGACAGGGACGTCACCCGCCCAAGATCACAGAGAAAGTGAAGCAGCTGGGACCCCACGGCTGGTCTGACCGAGACTTGTCCTGGCCGCTGCGCGGCCTGCCTCACTTTTAATTATATAATAATACACACGGACACTGCCTTCCAGGTGCTTTCACTTAAAATCTCCTGGGATCTGCAGCCAGGAGGCCAGGTTCAAGTTTGTTAGCTGAGCGGCCTCGGGCAAACCATTTTATCCTTGTGACCCTTAGTACCTGCATCCGTCACACTGGGTGAGGATAATACCGTCTAGCCTCCAGAACGGGGGTAGCCTTGGACAAGCTGCTCCCTCTCCCTGTGCCTCAGTTTCCTCATATGTATAATGATGATCTTTCCTATGGGACATTTAGAACCCCCAGGGGGAGAGGGGGTGAAGACAGCAGGGTGGAGTGAGCTCCCCCTCTTTGTAGGGGCTCCGAGGTGCAGTTAGTGTGGGGCAGGCTGAGGGGCTGGCTCTGCCAGGGCCTCCTGCAAGCCCTCGGCTTCCCTGCTGGGATAGCTCTGGCTCCCCAGGGAATGGCCCCTACCTGTCCCTGTCTTCCAGGGACAGGACCTAGGAAGGCAGGCGTGGGGGTGGGAGGCCACGGTTTGCCACCCGAGGGGCACTGCTTTTTCTAGGGTGGGCTGGGGCTCCCCCGAGGCTGCACTTCTCCTCTCTACACTCCATTATCTGGCTTGGATGTGGTTTCTGGAGAAGTCAGAAAACTCATCAGTCTCCCAGCTTCCAGAAACAAATGGAAGACTTGAGTTTAGGATCTTTTGGAGCAGGTGACCTCAATAAACAGAGCTGACCACTGGCCCCTTCTTTCCGTCTCCACTTCCTGGGGTATTTCCCTGACTCAGGGGCAGGGGGCAGGGGCCAGGTGGGGAGGGCCGGGTTTGCACAGAGAGGGGAAAGTTGACTCCTGGATAATCAATGAAACAGCTTCCATTTATTGAGCCACTACAGATGCCAGGCACTGGGGCAGCTCTCTGCATCCTGACTTCATTTAAAGCCCACAAGATAAAGCATCATTTATCCCATGTGCAAAGGAGGAAACTGAGGCTCAGAGAGGAAAGTGAGTTGTTGAAGGTCAGAGCCCGTATGTGTTGGAGGCGGGATTCACACTGAGGTCTGCCCTAAGGGGTCTCCCACCCGATGGCCCCACATTCACCCAGAGGGAAGGGGGAGCTGCCCCAGCTCTGTCCCTCTTCCCTCAGGCCAAGCGAGACTCCTCTCTCCAGCTTGTGATCTCAGTGCGAGCTGTGAGCACCCATGGAGGGCTTCCTGAATAATTGACGCCTCCTGCCCGTGCCGAGAAATTCAGGGCAAAAAACCACCGGCCACCCAGTCGTCTTTTGTTCTCATGTTTCCCCAGAGGAGCCTCTCCTTCCTCTCCCCCTCCCTCCCAACACTCGCCCTCCCAAGTGGACCTCCTGGGTGGAGCCGCCCGCAGACAGGCAGAGCAGCGCCCGGCAGAGGCGGGCAGTGGCCGGGCCTTCCCTCTCTCCTGCCCGGCTTCACATGCTGTCTCCCGCAGTTCCCAGCTAGGTGGCCTGGGGCAGGCTGGTTTATTTCTCTAGATCTCAGTTTCCTCATCCATTAAACGACGGTACCTGCACCTCACAGAGTTATTGTGAAGTATAAATTATGCCTGTAATTACTGTCATTTTTATCATTATGTAATTATGCACAGGTAAATTGTGTTGTTGGTTAGAGTTAAGTTCCTGCTATGTGCCAGACAGCTGTGGTATCTTATTTTACCTTCATATCCAGCTTCAGAGGTAGATACCATGATCCTTATTTCATAGGTGAGGACACTCAGGCTCAGAGAGGGGGAGACATTTTTCCAGGGTCATACAGTAAGTGACGGAGCTGGTAGAGCTGAATCTAAATCCAGATCCTAGGTCCTTTGTGCCCCACATGCATCTGTTTGGGGCAGCATCCGGAGACCAGGAGGTCTTCTGATCAGCCCTGTGAGGCAACGGGCTAATGAAGCTCTGCCCTCGGCTCCCCTCCCAGCCTTTTAAGCCTGCAAGTGGGCCTGCAGCCTGTGTTCTCTCCCTTGGCAGGAGGGGCTGCTCCACAGCGCCCCTTCTCTGCCTGGCGGAAGCCTGGAAGCTGTGTGTGTGCCTGTGTGTGCACTCACGTGTATGGTGTGATCGTCACCTTTGGAGCCAGACAGACCTGGATTCTAACTCTAACTTCGCTTTGCTGCTGTGTGACCCTGGGTAAGTTATCTCACCTCTCCGAGCCTCAGTTCCTTCACTGGGTAAAATGGGGTCCACGTGTCGTTGTGAGGTTGAAAGGAGAGGAGCCACATCACGTGCTCACATTGTGCCTGGCACACAGTGAACGCTCAGTAAATGTTAACAATTATTAAGACGTGTATATCTGCGTGTGGCAGGAGCAGGCAGGTGTAATGCATATTTGCGTGTGAATGTGTGCGCACATGCACAGATACGAGTGTGTGTGACAAAGGTGAGTTTGTGTGTCTGAGCCTTTATGATGTGAATGGGTGGCAGTAGATTGTGTATGTGTGTGTGAGGGTGTGTGTGTGAGTGAGCGAGTGAGAGACTGAGTCAGCTGCAGGGGTCCTTAGACTGGCCGCTGCCACTCTCCCAGATAGTCCAGCGGTCCCTGCAGGTCACGGGTCATGCTGTCCCGGCCTCTGCCTCCCCGGCCAGCCTGCACGGACACACCTCCCACCAGGGAGGAGGAGCAGTCATGCTCACTCGGGCCCACCTCCTCTCAGGGTCCTCCCCGGGCAGTTCTGGGCCAGGGCCTAGCTATCTACCCCTCCTGCTGGGACCCACATCTCGTCATGCCCTCAGAGCTGCCCAGGCCAGCCCCGCCCGCAGCAGGGATGGCAGTGTGTGACCCAGCTCCCACCAGCAGGCCCTCTCCAAAGGGCACACTCAGTGCCACGCAGGCATATACACCCCTGATGTTCTCCCTGGTGGAACAGGGAGGCATTTTTAGCAGCAGACTCTCTTACTCAGAAAATGAAAGGAAGGTGTTGCAAGAAATATGCATATACATACATAATGTATACGGCACTGACAGCATGCAAACAGCCTCAAAATAAGTGCACTGTCTTCATTGGAAATGTCAGCATCGGGTCTGGGCTCTGAGGGACATGGGTAGGGCAGACAGGCAGGGCTGTGGTTTGTAGGGCCTGGGGGTGGGTGGTGCCACACACAGAGAAGGGCGAGATGCCTGAGCCGAGGTCCTACCCCAGACACGGGGCAGTGAGGCCTGAGAAGCTGGATCCGGGTGAGGGAGCCGGAAAGACAGTGTGTTTGTGTCTCGGCTCCATAACAGCTGGCCGTGTTTCTCCAGGGTCAGTGTTCGCGGGAGAGGAATCTGAGCAGAGATCCATGTGTCCAGCTCTGAGGAGGCAACCCTGGGACAGGATTCAACTGGCCCTGAGGGCCCCTCTGCGGACCACAGTGAGACTTAAGTGAGGTCACCCCCAGGAATGCTTCCGGACCACAGAGGCAGTGAAGATGCTGAGCAGGCCTGGTCCCTCCTCTTTGCAAGGCCCAAGACAGGATGGTGAAGCAATTGAGGCCGAGCAGACCTAAAGTGGGACCTCCCCGGGATAGAGAGGGAGCCCAGGACCCCTGCCTCCTTCCAGCACCCTCCTTCCCTCCCAGGCAGCTGGCTGAGGCTACTGTTGGATTGAGAGCCCTGAGATAAGACATCACTTCAGGATGCAGCAGGGAAGTCCAGTGCGATGGAAATATGACAGCCTTTCTCCCAGGCCTAGGGTTGTAGGAGGGCCTTGAGGATGGCCCCACAGCGGGGGCCTTCTGCAATGTCTCCTGGGGTCTGCTCCACGCAGCACAGGGGCAGCAGAGCTCCTGTCTGAGGGAGGGCCAGGCAGGTGTCAAGAACAGAGCTTTCAATCTGTAACAAAACGGTTTTAAATCTTAGCCCCATTCCCTATTAGCTATAAGACCTTGGGCAGACTTCATTTCTCTGAGAGCTATTAGCTATAAACACCTGTCCTCAAAGGATGGCTGTGAGGAGTATGTCTGGTGAGGGAATGAACAGAAACCCTCAGCACAGTGCCAGGCACATAGTAGTTGCTCAATAAATGGTAGGAACAGGGTGGTTATCAATCTTTTATCCTGCACGCAGCACCTAGCACGAATATTTGTCGCAGAAATGAGCAAGAACTGGATGTGGTTCCTGCCCTGGAGAAGCTCCCAGGCCAGTGGGGGAACATGAAGGTGAGTGTGACGGGGCCACAAGGAAGCAACGCCTCTCCGGAGGCCAGGAGAGGCTAAGACGCTTCTGCTCAGTGGTAAAGGTGGCCTTTGAGCTGGGCTTCGATGGCCAGGGAAGCTGAGAGAGAAAGGGAATCGGAGGAACAGAGTGAGGGAAGGCAAGCAAGGGCCAGGCCAAGATTCCTGCTCCTCAACGGGTCTTAAAGCTGCCTGGACCATTAGTTCTCAACTCTGACCCCGTCCCTTCCCCTCTCTGGGCCTCAGCCGCCACATCTGGGAAATGAGTGGCTATAAATACACTCCCACCCCCACGAGAGGGAGGGAGGCAGCAAGGGGAGTCGGGGGGAAGGTAGCGCCCTGCAGGCTTTGGAGCTGGACCGAGCTGCAGCCCTGGCTCACTCTTCTCTAGCTGTGTCCCCCGAGGTCCCTTCCACTCCACCATTCTGTCACTTAGTGACTGCCCAGAAAGACTGGTTCACACACTGAGTTAAGCAACAGGTCGGGAAGGGAATGAGGGAAGCGGCCAATAAAAATCAATGTTTTAAAACAGAGCCAGTAGAAAGAAACGTTACCAGGGCTGCTCTGATTAGTGGAACCACATGCGACTTTTTTGGTCTTATCCAACACTTTTGGTATAATCCACATTTTCTGCAATGAGAATTTATTATTTTTATAGAGGGGAAAATTCCAATAAATATTATTACTAAAATGGAGTTGGAAGTCCTGGTTTGTGTCCTGGAATGGTCAGTTACTGGCTTATGTGACCTCGGCCAGGGTCTGAGCCTCCGTGGGCTTGACACTCCCAGAAGCCCCTCTGGGTTCTGACACTGGGTTCCTGAGACCCAGCCCTGCCGGGGGCTGAGGGTGAGGGTCAGCAGACCAGGGGTCCCTTGGCCCAGGGTCCTGAGACCCACTAGTAGTTTTGGGTACCTCCTCGTGGGAGGGTGTGACGTGTCTATTGGCTCCTGATCAGAGCTAGGGTGGCTGGGGCACACCCGGAGGGCTGGGGGTCAAGGCAGCATAGTGGGACGATCACAGAGGAAGAGCTGCCTCCTCCCCACCCCCGGAAGATCAGGCTTGTGTGGCCTAAACCCCGAGAACTAGGTTTGGTGACAAACACCAGCCCAGGAGAGCCCCTGGCTAAGGCTAGTTTTCACGGCGCCCCGACTCGCTGTGATTCCCAAGGCTGTATCGTCCTCTCTCTGTGCCTCAGTCTCCACGCAGACACAGCCGAAGCCGCAAGTGGGAAACCGGAAGGCATCCTACCTTTTGAAGTTCACAACGCCTTTTGGGATTCCCGTGGGGGTGTTGAAGGCCGGCAGGAGTTTCTCTCCCAGCTTGATGGCCTTTATTCGGAACACCTGGAAGGGTCAAAGGGCATTATGAATCCCAGCCGGGCAGGGCTCCATCACTGCAAGAAGCTGCTCCCGCTGGCAGATAAACCCACCAACACCGCGGGCCCAGAGGGGAGGCTGCACTGCATTAGGCTCTGGGGTCAGACAGGGCCTGGATGTGGACCTGGCTGCACGAATTCCTGCCTCGTGGCCGCAGGGGGCATCTCTCTCTGAGCCTCAATTACCTTGTTCATAAAATGAGGACAATATTGCCTTCCTCAGAGGGTTGTTGGGAGGAATGAAAATTAGATAATAGTTGTAAAGCCCTTACCAGAGTGTCAGGACTATGATTAAGGCTCAGTGACCGTCACGGGTCAGGGTGACTACTGGGAAGGTGAAGCCGTCAGGGCAGCTAGTCACCAATGGTCAGTGCCTACCGGCACCGCGGGACCAGGACATCGCGTGACAGGCTGAGCATGCGGGAAATGCATTTGGACAGAGCATAAAGAGCCGGTCTTTACCCCACAACTTGGCTTCTGTGTGCCTCTCAGCAAACCACTGCCTCCCGCCGTGTAAAACCAGGGGAGAGCCTTTCCCCTTGACACCTGACTCTGCCCACTGTTCCCATTTTACAGAGGGAATGAATGGAGAAGGTGAATGGCTCGTCCCAAACCACCCACGTGATGGCAAGGGAGCCAGCCACAAGGAGGTCCCAGGCTGCGGGACCCCTGCCCGAGGCTCTGACCCCCTCAAACTGTCCTTCTGATTCATTCAAAAGGCCCTGGGACCTTCTGACTCAGCAGTTTCCCTCCTAGGAATTTATTCTAAGGCAGTAAATAACCAAGGATGTTGTAAAGATTTAACTTTATGTCTATTTATTCTAGTATTGTTTAGAATAGTGGAAACAATGGAAATACTCTAAATATCAAACAATTGGGAAGTGGTTAAATTACAGCTTATCCAAGCAACGGAAGACCATATAGCCACTGGAATGATGCTGTAGAAGAATATTTAAAAATAGCAAAGAAAGGGTTTATAATCTATTAAAAGAAAAACATTTCAAAATAGCGTAATTCAACTTTCGTAAAAATTACATACACAGATGCACGAGGAAAGGATGGGAAGAAAATCCACCAAAATATGAACAACGGTCTCCTCGGAGTGGTAGGCTCATAGGATTTTTATTTTCTTCTTTTGGCTTATCTCTGTTTTCTGTGCTATTTTTATAATAAAAACAATCCCACAATAAACGTTATCTTTTAAAAGATGAGATGCAAGTCCCTAAGCAACTGCTCCTGGTGGGACAACATATGTTTTCTTTCAGTTCTGGAGGGTGACCCAGTTTGCTGACCCTCCTGCATGGTCGTTGCAAAACAAAGTCTTGAGGTCCCCCCACAACACCTGCAATTTAAAAATGCTGAGGCGGCCGTTTAGGGACCGCAGTGGGGGAGGAGTTTGCGACCATTCCATGGGCGAGGATTAGAGGCCTGGGAGGGGCAGGTGTGGTTCTTACTTAAGGAGGGAGGGGGCGAGAGGGAAGAACAGCACCCAAGGCCTGGCAGTGATGGGCGAGAGAAGATTAATGTCCAGTGCCAGAAAGTGGGTCCCAGAAATGGGCACAAGGGCCAGCCACGTCAGAATCCCCGGGGGAGCTTGTCTAGAGTCCAGATTCCAAAGCCTCGTGTCACTCCAGAAGCCACGGGTTTAGCAACAACAAAGGGCTCTTATCTGAGGCTCCTGATATCCTCATTTGACCCCCAGGGAGGCTGAGCACAGAGGCACAAAGGAACCCCCCAGAACCTGAACCCAGATGCTGAGGCTCCAGGCACCTGTCTGGCTGCCCTCTGCCCTGAGGACTCTGAGCCAACTCTTCTTAAATGCTCCTCTCTGCTAGCAAACCAGGTCTCCTCCTTTGGAGGGCCCTGCTGCTGGCAGCACTGCAGGGTCTCAACCAGCCCACAGAGGGTGCTGAGTGAGTGTGTGTGCACAGGAGTGATACCACTGGGAGCAGAAGAACAGCGGTCCCCCTTATCATTTTGGAAGTGAGGAAGTGTGCCAGGTCTTATCTATATGATCCTCAATCCTTGCAACAGCCTGGTGGGGAAGGTGTTGACCCAGTCGGAGGATGACAAAACTGAGTCTCCAGAGAAGCAATTGGCCCAAAGTTGTGGAGCTATTAAGTGGCTCTTTTCCAAGATACCAAGCTGCCTTTCCAACACAGAGAGATACGGCCTCAGACAGCCATGGTAAGCAACGGGCAGAGGCCCAGTGGCTCCAGAACAAAGGTGAGAGAAACCAGCAAGAATTATATTTTGTAGATTGGAAAGGAGTCAGAGCCCAGGTTCACATCTTCCCACTTAGCACCTGTGTGACCTTGGGTGAGCCATGTACTGTCTCTGAGCCTCATCTGCACAACGAAACACTGACCTGTGCCCTGGCTGCTTCACACGGTTCTTCTAGAAATCAAATGAGAGGATGTATATAAGTGAATGTGCTATATAAACTGTAAAGTGCTGTGGCTATGCTTGTTATTCTCGCAGGAGTCTTGGTAGGGCTGGCCTACCCAGCAAGGGCTTCTCCCCCCATAGGTTTCCTCCAAAGCAAAGAAAGCCCTCAGCCCAGGAAGGGGTGTGGGGTCTCCTTTACTATTCATTCCACAAATATTCGTGGGAAATTTTAAAAATGGAAAGACCCACTCCATAGTCATCCACTGTGTGAGGAGGAAAGCCTCAGTCCAGTGTGACTGAGGTGACAGGCTGCAACCCAGGCCAATGGCAGAGAGGCCACAGGGTCAGAAGTCGACCCAACGCAGCCCTCAGAGACTGTGGGACCTGAGCAAGTTACTTCTCTCAAAGTCTCAGTTTCCATAACTGCAATTCAGTGACAATACGCACCTCATGGGCTGTTTGAGCAACAATGAGACTGTGCACACACGGGACAGAGAGCAATCAGGAAGGCGTGGCTGGAGGACTCAGGCTGATAACCTCAGGCTGCCCGCTCAGGGATTCTGAGCCACCAGGGCCTCTCTTTGGGCCTTCTGAACCACTTCTAAGCCACTCGTGCTCCTATCCACACCCCGTGTCTGGTCTGCATCCTGGAAAGCCAGGCTGATGGTCCCTTCTGGGGAGCCAAGGCCTCAAAACAAGTTCTCAGAATCACAGACACCCTCAGAGAAGGGAGGGCAGGGACAAGTATCAGGTCTGAGGAGCACCAGCTCCTTTCTGAATTGCTGGCACCCCACCAACCCCTGTGAGCCCCGAGCTGCATCGCTCCCTCCTCCTTCCCCACATCCCATGTCCACCTCCCACGACCTGGACGCGAGGCTGGGCAAGTGCCCGTGAAGAACACAGATGCCTTTTTCTGCTCCATATGTCATTTTCCTGTGCAGGGGTTTTCAAATGAAATTCAGGCCTCGGGTGGCTCACAGTCGAGGGCTCCCATCTACAATTGTTTGGGGACAAATTGGTACAACCAGTAGTCTCTGCTGAGGAGATTATGCTTGATGGAAAGAGGCCCGAAGCCACTGTAGAGATAAAAAGCGTGCCTGTTACCACTAAACCCTTGGCTTCAGCTGATTCTGCCTAAAGTTGAAGGGAAGGGAAATAACTTGCTCAGACAATAGCCCTCGAGGTGAAGAGGGCTTTTTGCTCTCCTCACCTCCAGGCTCTACCACCGGCAGAGGGCAGGACAATTATTTCTCTCTCGGTGGACAGAGCAGTGGTTGTGCTGAGCAGCGCGGCCCCTCTGGGTAACGGGGAACACAACTGACCAGTGACCCACGTCCTGGGGACTCGGCCAACCTCACCCCCAGGTCCTCGGGCTGTGCTTTCACGCGAGCTCACGAGGGGATGAGGAAGCCTCCCATTTCTACGGAGGTCTGTGCTTCTCAAAATTCTCTTGCAGTGCAGAGAATATGAGCTTTGCAGCAGGTCAGCCCTGGGGTCAAACCCTTTCTCTCCTGTCCCATTTCACAAGAGCTCTTTGACCCAAGGGGGATTAGGACCATCCCCCTGGAGGGGAAGGAAGTGAGGCCAAGGGATGGGAGAAGGGTGTTGCTCAAGGTCACAGGCGGGGGTGGGATGGGGATGAGGCCCAGGTTTTCTGACTCCGTGCCCAGGGCTCTGCCTTCTCACGTCACTTCACAGCCCTCCTTCTGGAAGCCAAAGCAGCCCACCTGGGGCCAAGGCCTTGCATTTACAACACGTGACCAGCAATGGCTGCCCCATCTCCCCTGTTGCTCCTGTGAGACCCGGAGCTGGTGTCTGGCTGGTGGCTGGCCCAGGAGGGGAGAGCAAGGGGTGGCTGTGCCGTAGGACAAGGCCAAGGGGCCCCAGGAGTGGAAATGGTGAAATAATGGTCTTGGCTTTATCAGTGCGGATAACCAACACCTGCAAAAACCAGTCCAGCAGCTCTACAAGCCCGTACCGAGCCCAGATATTGCTGGGTTCCACGCGTGGAGTTGCGTGGATGGTGTGAACAGACGCAATTGTTGCCCTTAGAGAATTTACTACCAACTGTGGGAGCCAGTTAGGCACACCTGGGCAGCAGGATAGAAGTATCACACAGAAGAGGAGGAAGATTCTGCAGGTGGCACGATGGAGGTGGGCAGGGGGACGCAGGGGGACACAGGGGGACATGGGTGGCCCTGGGCAAATCCCCTTGAATCCCTGATTCCTCATTGGTGAAATGAGGGCGTGGGATTGGATGTTCTCCAAAGTCCTTTCCAGCCTGGATGGTCCAGGGGCCTCGAAGGGCCAACTCACCTCTTCTCCTGTCAGGTAGAAGGCTGAGAGGAGGCCTCCGATGTACCGGATGTTCACCTCAAACAAGGATGCTTCTCCGCTCTGCAGGGCAGAAAGAAGTGGGGAGGGCAGTGGGGACACTTGTGATTTGCCTGCAGGGCTCCCAGGGACAGCCAGGCCCTTGAAACAGGTTACTCTGGCCACTGCCCCCCCTACCCTGCTGATCTGGCTACACCTGCGCCGGGCTCTGGGGTCTAGCCCAGCAGGCTAGGCTATGCTCCATGGCGGTTTTCAGAGCAAAAGGCAAGAGGGATCAACACCTGCTTGGCAGCCGCTACTGCACATTTACAGCATTCCAAATAAACACTGGGCTTGGCTTCCTTCCCCAGCCCTTGCCCGAGGCCATCGGAGCGAAGTTATGCCTGGCTGTTCTCCAAGGAGCTCAGGAACTGGGTGGGGAGCTGCTGGCTGAAGCTTAGCCTGAGGGGAGGCACCTCCTCCTCTAGTCCGGCCACCTCCCCTCCCTGAGGGAGCTCCTGGGCTCAGCAGGAGGGTGGTGTGGCCCTTCATCGGGGTGACAGGACAAGCAGAAGGTTCTCAGAGGAGGCTCTGGGGCAGACAGGGCAGGCCAGGCTGAGAGGCAGGGTTCGGGGCAGAGCCTTGTAGGTAACGGCGATTTCTCAGCCCCGGCTCTGGAGGATATTTTCTTTCTGAAGTCTGGACTGCAAATCAGGGTGTTGGGGCATCACGCCAGGTGGGTCAAAATCCCACCTGAGCCACTTACTTGGCTGTGGGACTTCAGGCAAGATATTTAGCCTTTCCCTGCCGAGTTTCTTTTATCTGTAGAACATAGCTGACAGTACCTCCCGTGCAGGGCGGATGTGTGACACCAAGTGGTGCAGGTGAGGTGCCGGCCTGTGCAGCCTGGCTCCATAATGACGCCTGTTATCACCTCCCCTGCCCCCGAGGGCTCCCCTGGGGCGCCTCCCACATCAGGTCTTTTATTACTGATAACAACCATCATCCCTTATCTGGGAGAGTTTTTCCATTGACAGAACACTTCGAAGCCACTCTCTCCTTTTGCCTTACAGTGCTGGGGGAGGTCATCACTCCCATTTTTCAGATGAGAAAGCCAACTCTCAGGGATGGGTAGCGACCACATCTTGCTTTCTTCCAGGGACACTCCCTAACCTGCCCCAGTCTGCCTGAACATCCCCAGGCTCCCCTGGCCCTGCCACCACCTGGCACCTTGGGCAGCTGCCTGGTGCCCACTCTCTGTCGACCATCTGCATAGGGGACAAGCTGGGCCTATGAAGACACTCGTTCCTCCTCCCACCTCTGCCTTTTTCCCACTCGATACAGCAGGAAATGGGGGGATCCTAAACTTCCTCGCCTCACACTGACTTCTGGAAGTCATAACCAGCCTCAAAATAATCATAGTGATGATGATGATGCTGGCACCCTGTTACATCTGTATCAGACTTTACAGGGTTACAAACGCTTGTTACAACCCTCCATGGGAGTTAATGCTCCAAGCCTGCGAGGTAGGCACGATCATTGTTGCTGTTGTGGCCTTCCCGTCTTAGAGTTGGGGAAACTAAGGCTCAGGGAGGCTAAGGACTTTCCCAGGCTGCGAGCTGAGCCAGGGAAGCTCTCCTGTGGTGTTGCTTTCCAGACTTTCCCAGGTTTGTCCCCCTGCCCTGCTCTGTGCTGACACTGGCCTCAATTCTGCCATGGGCTGCAGGAGCTGTCCCCATTCACACTGGGACTATCCCTCAGGGAGCACCAGATGGAGCCTGCCAGTGCATTCTGTTGTGACCTTCCCCCCATCTGTCTCCACTTCTTGCTCCCCAAATCCATCTAAGCAGCCTCTTCCCATGGTGAGCTGAGACCTCCAGGATGGATCCCTTACTTCACTCCGGGCTAGGAGACCAAGGGGGTTGGGGTCTGGTATTTAAGGCTTTTGTACCGTCCAGTCACATCCCCTCCCCAAAGCCCTGGTTCCTGACCAGGGATGCCTATGAGGCTGGAAACCAAGAGGGTCCCGGACCTGGTCGTGGTCTCTAACCAGATGGCCCCCACCCCCTCTCTCAGGAGGGCAGCACAGGGGGCTCCAGGTTAGAGCAGCTCTGAGCAGATAAGCCCCTTCTCCCCTCCACAGAGTCACCTCCCCTGTTGCTGCTGTTCTGTGTGACAGACTCAGCCCTAGAAGGCACTTCCTGGGTGTGAACAATATGCCTGGCACCCCAGGGAGGGGCAGGAACGGTCATGGGTATCTTTCCTCCCAGGGAAGGAGAACAGGCTGGTGAATACTCATGGGCCGGCCAGGGCTGGGGGGACGTCCCCTACCTTAAGGCTGGTCTTAGGGGAGGGCACTCGGCATGGAGTGACTGCTCTGCTGTGCAGCCTGGGGCCAGAGCCTCCACGTCTCTGGGTCTCAGAGATGACAGGATGGAGCTGGCCGCTGACCTCTTGGGCCCCTTTTGGCCTTAACACCCCGAGGATCTCTGACTCACCACGTTCAGGTGGAAGCTCTCTTCAACCCAGGCCTTGGCCTCCTGGAACTCCTCCTTCAGCCCCATGAGGTAGAGGGTATCAAGGGAGTCAATGACCGTCGCCCCGCTGAGGCCTCCTGCAGGCACGGAGGATCGAAGGCATGACCAGGGTCATTCTTACCCTTTCCATCCCCAACCACACAAGCCACCATTCCCAGGGCCCCCTCTAATGCCTGGACAGGCTCCAAGGCCACGGCTGGCCCAGGCACGACCCAGGGAGACTCCAGTGCCACCAGACTTTGAAGGCGAGTCCAGGACCCAGAGTCCCCCCGAGGGCTGCTTCCTCCTCAAGGCAGCAAAGAGCAGGTGGCAGCCTGGAAGACCACGTTCATGGGCTGAGCCACTTCCTAGAACTTGGTCCACTCTTATATCCGTCAGTAAATCAACCATCAGCACCAGGTGGGCACCTGCCACTTTTCTGTGATGCTGGGGGGAGGCTGAACTGGCATTTGGCCTACAAAAGCTGAACAAATGTGCAAGTCCTCTGACTTTTCAATTCCATTCCTTATTTTATTCTAAGAAAAAAAATGAAGATGTTCATAAATAGTTATCCAGGAAGGTATTTATCACAATACCATATATAATGGGGAAAAGTTGGGATAAACTCCAAGTCCAATAATAGGGATTAGTTATATAAATTGTGTGTTAACTGGGGAGATATCCATGGGCTCTGTTAAGCTAAAAAAAAAAGTTGGTTGAAAAACGAAAAAAAACACAGTATAATTTCTTTATTGTATGCCAAATGTGCATGAGCCTGCACAGAACTAGTCTGGCAGGATGCAATTCAGTGGTTATCACCCCGTGCTGCGATTACAGGTGCTTTTTGATTTCTTCAGCTCATGGATTATTTTTATAACCAGAAATTTATTTCCGTTGAAGGAAAAAAAGGAAAGAAAGTTCAGGCAAAGAAACCCAACAAATGCACAAACCAACGATTTTGTGGCCACTCTAGGACGATGAGTATACAAAGCACAAACTTCAAGGCCCGGCCCCTGCCCCTGGGCCTTACACTGTTGTCCTAGAAGTAAAGGCTGAGATCATTGTGCAAAATGACAGTTTTCCACAACACAGACCGGGCAGGAGAGTGATGATGACCTCCCCACATGGCACAACCAGAGCCTGAGTGGAGAGCACTGTAAAGGAGGAAGGGAGGGAGAAAGAGATGTGCCTGGTGCCATCTGGAGGGCTTCCTGGAAGAGGAACCTGCCTCCCACAAACTGCTTACAACTACAGTCATTGCAGGCAGCAGCAGTTTTCTTTAGGGACCAGAATGAGCTTAAGAGGAGTCACTGTTCCTTCACAGTCCTCCTTGCAGAGGCTCAAAGCAGTGAGTACGATAGACTCCACCACCCCCCAGAAGAACTCGAGAGCTCCCTGACAGCGCTGAGCCCCACTTGAGTCTGAAGCACAGGCTTTGCGGGCACTCCTGCGTTCAGAGTTAGCGCCTAATCTCCTTAATTAGTGCTTCGCTCACCGCTCACTTGTGGTGACTTTGCAGGCAGAGAATCCTTCTGAAACTCAAACACTTACCCGCCTCTCTGGCCGGGCAAGGTTGGATAACGGGCACGGCCTGGAAAAGGATGGGAGGGAGATCAGGTAGAAGTTGGGAGAAAGATAAGGCTGGAGGTTCAAGAATCCATTTCCAGAAGGGAGGGTTTGCAAGGACGAGAGGAAGGAGGGGAGGGCTGGGGAAGCAGGGGCATCCTGAGGGAGTCATGCGTTCCCGGATGGCCTCAGTATTTGGGTTGAAGTGAATTTCCAGAATGTCAACCCCCCCACACTGAAGGATTGGTAGGAAAACATACCCAAAGCCAAAGGTGATCCCTTCCCTGTTTATCCTGGTTGCTTCCCTGTAGGTGCCAAGGCCTGGACGTGGTTCATGGGAACGCTTTACCCTCCAAGGTGCTCGGGCACGGGGACACTGATGCACCTCAGAAGGACACAGACTGGGACACACCCAGGCCACAGTGCGCCAGCCTTTTGTCCACACTCCTCGCTCTGAAGCTAGCACCTTTCCTCTTATACCACAGGGTCTCAGACCTGATTTTTTAAGGTCCTGGAGGGATTTTAAAGATCCTGCTGCCCTACCCCTAAATTTCATAGATAACCCCAGAGAGGGGTTGGGACATGCCCAAGAAAAGACCAGAGGAGGAGTGGCACCCCAGCCTGGGCCAAGTGTGATGTGTTTTCCACAACGAGTCACCTCTCAATTCCCTGTGAAAACAATTTCGGGTCTGATTGTAACCCTACCCCACCCCTGCTGGGGGGAGGAGGCCGCTCTGGTCAGTGAAGGCTCAAGGAGCAGTCCAAGCTGTTCATTCTTCAAGGCCAAGGGAGAGGCGGCCAGTATCTGATTTCCAAATCCTGCCCTGGGCTGCCTGGTGTTTTCAGCCCACTGGCCCTCCTTCCCCTGGCTGAGCCCGAGCCCAGAGGCCCCGGGGCCTCGGCCGGGCCAGGAGGGCAGCGAGGGCTCCTCGTGACCAGCTCTCCTTCCCAAATACTCCAGAGGCAGCCGGCTGAGAAGGCAGCTTGCTAAGAGATCTGTTGGCAAGGTTCTGCCCTGCTCTCAGGTTCCTGACTCCTCTCGGTTGATCTCTCACTGCCGTCTCCACCTACCACACAGCTGGGCTGCGGGCCAGCAAGGCACTTATTGGAAAGCCTTTCATTCCAGGCTAGAGGTTACCCAGTGGCCAGGCCAGGCAGGAGAGAAGGCCTTATCTCAAATTCAACTCTATCTGCACCTGCAGCTGGCCTTCAGCAGCTCCCCTGGGAAAAAGACACAGGCCCATTCAGTAAACAGGCCCATGATTTACAAGCAAAAAGCCAACGGGGCACAGAAAGTCAGGCAGCCAGCTTGGAAGCTTCACTGGGCCTGGGCCTGGGGCAGGTTCCAGATAGGCCCACTCCCCCAGCTCCAGCTCTGAACCCTTCCTGTTCACAAAGGACCTCCTCTCCTCCCCCTTCCTGCCAGGGCAGGAGGCAGCGAGGTGTGTTGAAAGAACATAGCTCTGGGTCCAAATCCCAGCTCGGGCCAGCAACACATCTGCTCTAAGTGTCAAAGTTCTCATCTGTAAAATGAAGTTAAGACCACTGGGCTGGGGTACTGGGGAGCCACTGCAGGCTCCTGAGCCAGAATAAATGCATCATATACATGCCCTGTCCAAGGACCTGAGAGTACGTCCTTGAAAAATCAGTTCATTGTTCTTATTTCTGGGGTCCCTTAGCTCACCTTGAAACACTGGCCTGGCCAGGGAGATGCAGGTTCAAATCCTGGCTCCATCACATACTAGCTGTGTGCCAGGGCAAGTCACCGTACCTCTCTGAGCCTCATGTTCCTCATCTGCAAACTGGGGATGACACTAGGACCTACCTCAAAAGGCTGCAGGGAGGGTTAAATGGGGCAGGGGATGGAAAGGAGCTAGCACAATGCGGGGTACATGTGAGCTTAACCCAATAAACAAAAGTGTGGTCTTCCTTGCCCCTGACTGGCCCTGGGCAGCTCCTCCACAAAGTCTTCTGCAGTCACTGAGGCCTTGCAGTGCTCCTGCATTACTGGCCTCTCCCTGTCCTGCAGGGCAATGTGGGCATGAGACTGCAGTTTGCAAAACCCTTGGCTCAACTTAAAGGAGAAGTGTCACATGGGCCCCACCTGTGTTTGCTGCTGACGCCATCACCACCCCTGACCTGGGCGTGCACCTGCTGCCAAAGAGTCTTCTTCCCTCCAGGACTCCCTCCCTTCCCCTCCGATTCACCCTGTACACTGTTGCCTGACCTGTCTTCCTAAAACCAGATCCAACTGTGTCCCTCCCCAGCTCAGGAACCTGCAATGGCTCTCAGTACTCACGCAGCAAAGGGAGTGAGGCCTTTTGGGTCTAACTTTAAAGGATCTGGCTAATCTCACCTCCTGCCAAGCTCTGCTTCCTGGACACGTGTTGCACGCTCCTGCCTCCATACATTTGCATGTGTGGTCTCCTCGCCGAGAAAGCGTCTCTGCATCTGGGCATACTCAAAGCCCACACCTTCTTCAAGGTCCACCTCCCCCCGCAGCCTTCCCTGATTCCACCCAGCCCACCTCCTCCTGCCCAGAGAGCTCCCACAGCACTTTCTCGGGCCTCCACTCAGGCACCCACCACTCCCACCCTGCACTGTGGGCTTTGCCCCACGCTTTAACTAGACTGTGAGCTCCTTGCCTCTCTTGCACCCCTTCCTTGCCTTGTGTCAAGTAACCCCAATGGGGTTACTTAGTAACCCCAAGGTTAGTTAGGTTAGTAACCCTAATCTCAATGGGCCGCTGGCCATCTTGCAGCCTCCTCACATGCCCTGACTTCTGTGACTCTTCTACAAACTCTGCTAGGAACTGCGTTCCCATTCCTCCTTCTCCTACAGAAATCTAGAGCCCACCCCAAACACCTCCTTGCCCATGAAGCCACAGTGCTTTCCACCCATGGTCTGCCTGAAGTCCACCCTCCCCTGACTCTCCTCCTTTGAGAACTCTTCCCTGGCCCCTCCAGGCCCACATGATAGGCCTCTACTCTGTGTACTCCCATCTCCAGGACAGGTGCTCCCCCATTCTTATCACACTATAAAGGAGTCATCAATTTGCTTGTCCCTGCCCCCTGTAAGAGAGGCGCTCTGGTCTGCATCAGAGTCATCTCCACACTCAAGAAACAGCTGCCGGGCCAGCCCGGTGGCTTAGGGGTTAGGTGCGCGCGCTCCGCTGCTGGTGGCCCGGGTTCGGATCCCGGGCGTGCACCGACGCACCACTTCTCCGGCCGTGCTGAGGCCGCGTCCCACATACAGCAACTAGAAGGATGTGCAACTATGACGTACAACTATCTACTGGGGCTTTGGGGGGGAAGAAAAAAAAGGAGGAGGATTGGCAACAGATGTTAGCTCAGAGGCGGTCTTCCTCAGTAAAATGAGGAGGATTAGCACGGATGTTAGCTCAGGGCTGATCTTCCTCACAAAAAAAACAAAAAAAAATAAAACAAACAAAAAAGAAACAGCTGCCAAGTGAAAGTGGGAAGGCGGGAGGGCGGGAAACCAGGCTGGTCCACCTCTGGCCACCTGCACTTAC